AGCCTCACTCACTTCCTGCGCTAACCGCAGCAGGATTTGCATCACCCTATACCCCAAGCACCCCACCCAAGTTTGATGTAAACTCTCCTCTTGAACCCTTTTGTGCGGCAATTCCAGTCCTCGCAATGCATCTAGTCTGATTACGGGCAAGTAATACCTGCACGACGGTTCATAAATGCATATCAGGAATGGGATGCCCGTATTGCAATACATATATATAGGCCGAGCCGACAGCAAACTGGCGAGGGAACTCATTATGGCCTGTAAAACGGAAAGCAACTCAATTAACACTGGTACGGACCTCCCTGCGCTATATGATACCGCAAGTTTGCACATGCACAAGAGAGGGCGTTCAATGAGACAAGAAGATGAAGGGACAACCAAAAAAATGAAGTAAGCCTCTATCTTTACTCATGTGTTAACCCAAATGTTCATCTTTGATGATGTGATCGATCATGAGTTCAAAAACTCAGACGAATAAACATTCACCCCCTGAGATCCCAGAGGCAGTACAACTGATATGTGGAAATTTGACTTGCAAAATAAGCCAATATAAAGAGAAAAATAAGTTCTTTGTTTCCTAGTCAAGCCTAATCGTTTATCTTTAGGTATATTAAAACACTACCAACAAATCTCCATTTTTTTTGAAAATCCCGGAGAAAATGTTTATATGCACATAATTTTGCCAGCTGGATATGTAAATAAAGTACTTTTAGTGAGGTAGCCTAATATGGACATTTTTTTATTAATGTTAGGAATAATCATACCGGTCTTTTCCGCGGACGTTTTTTTTTGGCCGAACATGTGTTTTGTTGTTCGAAGGAATTTCTAAATATGGTCCACATGGCCATCTTCATGTGAACAAATAAACCAAAACTCATTTCTTGGGTAACTTATTTTCTTCATTATAGTAAGCGAAAGGTTAATATATGTTTAAATGTTTTGACTTAAAAGGAGTTCTTTTTATAACAATAAATTGGTAACGTGAGCCCTCAAACGAAGATAATATTTTAATTTATCGTTCTACTTTATAGCGTTTTTTAAGTTTACGGAACTCGGATATTATCAAGAAAATGCCGCTTTTCTTAATGCACGATTAATATTCTTATAGTCGCGTCTAAGTAATAAAAATGTGCCTGAGCTTATTCATTATTACTTTTAGATTTCCGTACATGCGGTAATGCTAATTTGCGAATGCTTATCAATATTTTGCAAATTTCGGCATATTGCGCGTATACTTCCGAAGAGAACGTTGCAACCCACCGAAAACATCGCTTACCGTTCCGGTGTTAATAGTATGACCGTGGATAAAGCGCACATAGTCGCTTTGTGCTGATTCAATTTTAGTTATTGCCATCTTAATTGTGTAGACTACAAACGCTTCTTTCTCCTAAAATGTAACATAATTCTAAATTTTCGATTGCTCAAATTAGAGTGAACACGAAACCCGAACGGGATCCAAACAAAATCGTTGTCAGATCTCTACCGAATCCAGTAAAAGATTTTCATCTGCATCAATATTTTTCCCAATTTGGCCCTATCAAAGATGTGTTCGTGACTAAAGAACAGGATTCCCGTCGTTGTGGTTTCGTTACCTTCCGTGAGGTGGCTTCTGCGAAGAGGGTGCTCGAGAGAACGTCGCACTACGTAAGTGGGTATCCACTAACGGTGTCGCTGGTTAGAGTCAAAGGATCTGCGGACAGTGGGTAAACCTTGAATCGAAGGCGATGTCAAGAGAGAAGTATGCTTTATTTTGAAGGTAAATGTTTACAATTGTCGGCCACAAATGGCTCTATTCACGGAGAGCAAGGGGTAAGTTTAGGTGAAGGTTCATAGAGTACTCAACATTTAAATATTTAAAGGATATCCCCATCCTCAATGAGGTAGCATGCTAGGAATGGAAGTATAGAGTGCTGGTATGTCGATGTACGGTACGACATATGACAGAAGCTCCGACGCATAGTATGGGATAACTTCGCGTGGGGGTGAGCGAAATCACCAACGGTGTAGTCAGGATGGATCTCAATACCTGGTTTAAGTTTCTGAATATTTCAAACCGTGAAAAATAAGAAGACCTCCGTCATAAGAGGCGATAATTCGATTTATCTACATATTCCAACATTCATTACAGGGACGTACGCTGTCTTTCCGGCAGCTCGGACTTATTAAAGTCATATCCGCGCATACGGACAATCACTAGGAACAACCTTTTGCTTGTTCTTGAATACAACATTTAGATACGTTTTCCAGATGAGGGTATCCTGTACGAGGTCTGGCAAAGAAAGCTATATATATATTGTTAACATTATAGGTTATCCTTCAAACGTACGGTAAAAGCAGCATCAGCAGTATCAACATGGTGTATTATATGAAAACATATCAACCTTCTACCGCTATAAACCATGCATCGTTATATGCAGTTCTTGAAATCTAAAATATATTTTTTTTGTTAGTTGGGAAGGCTAATCTCCTTCATAAGGTGTGCGGATATTGCAGCTCAGAACCTGACGTTTAATGCTTTGTTCATCGTCATCTCTGCTTTACAGAAAAACTCACCGCAAGGTGTGGGTTGGCGACAAGAGCAGTATGGTCCTGTCTGGTACCGAAAATAGAACATCAGAAAAGTCAGCAGTCGACATCGACCCCGAAGATCTAACCATTTATGTTGGTCAACTAAAACCTCAAATCACCGATTATACGCGCAGGACTTACTTTTCCGAGTTTGGCACTGTCGAAGAGGCTGAAGCAATAACCAATAGGGTGACGGGTGAATCCCGGGGCTACGGTTTTGTCACCTTCACTGCCAGGCGGGCTTTTGAGAGAGTTCTGGATACCTGCCACTTCCTCAATGAGTGTCGACTGAACGTCAGGCCGGCAGCTGCCTGCAGAAGGAAACCGTAAGTTCAAAACTTTGCCGTCCAACTTTTTCTGGATTGGATTCCGCTCTTTCTGGCTATTCTTGGCAGTGCTGGTATAAATATATATGACTATATTTTCTCTAAAAAAATAGAATCATAATTAAAGATACAGTATGTGCACACACTCTCGCTCTACCCGCGATAACACAGAACA